AAATCTGTGTCCAGGGCAGCTGTTTACCAGCTCCATCTGTTACGCAGGCTGAGGCCCTACCTGACCGCAGACTGTCTTGCCGGAGTGGTGCATGCTCTGGTTATCTCCCACTTGGACTACTGCAATGCGCTCTACGTGGGGCTACCTTTGAAGGTGACCTGGAAACTACAACTAATCCAGAATTCGGCAGCTGGACTGGTGACTGGGAGCAGCTGCTGAGACCATATGACACCAGTCCTAAAAGACCTACATTGGCTCCCAGTATGTTTCCAAGCACAATTCAAAGTGTTGGTACTGACTTTTAAAGCCTTAAATGGCCTCGGCCCAGTATACCTGAAGAAGCATCTCCCATCGTTCTGCCCGGACACTGAGGTCCAGCGCCGAGGGCCTCCTGGCGGTTCCCTCATTGCGAGAAGCAAAGCTACAGGGAACCAGACAGAGGTCCTTCTTGGTAGTGGTGCCCACCCTGTGGAACACCCTCCCATCAGATGTCAAGGAAATAAACAACTATCTGACATTTAGAAGACATCTGAAGGCAGCACTGTTTAGGGAAGGCTTTAATGTGTGACATTTTAATGTACAGTGGTACCTTGGGGTAAGAACTTTATTCGTTCTGGAGGTCCGTTCTTAACCTGAAACTGTTCTTAACCTGAAGCACCACTTTAGCTAATGGGGCCTCCTGCTGCCACCACCGCGCGATTTCTGTTCGCATCCTGAAGCAAAGTTCTTAACCTGAGGTACTATTTCTGGGTTAGCGGAGTCTGTAACCTGAAGTGTATGTAACCTGAAGTGTAATGTAACCCGAGGTACCACTGTATTATGACCAAGAATTATACGTGGAAATTACACGTTAAACTTTAAATTTACAAAATAAAAACTGAGAAGCTAGACTAATAGTCGCATTGGCGTAAGCGAACTGGATTCCCCGACCCTGTTTTGATAGAATATGGGGGGGGGGTTCCGCAAATTAAACTCTAGTTGGTCTTTAAAATATATTAAAACTCAGCGCATTCTATCCAGCCTCTTGCCTGCAGATTAGGAAAGGCCTAAGGTGAAAAATGACCACATGCAACAGCCATTCCAGGCATTCCTGACAAAAGCCAGAGGCTACCACACTCCTCTGAAGGGGGCTGCACGTCTTTACCATGGGAGGACAGAGAAACAAGAAGCAGCTGGGAAGGGGAGGGGGGTGGCATATCGGAGAGCAAATCCATGAAAGGAGAAAATTGGGAAGGTCTCCAACCATCACCTGACCCCCCCAGGGGAAAGAAGCACCACCAGAACCTGGGCTTTCTTCCGGAGATCTCTCCGCAAAGGCTCTCCTGAATGACCCTGGACTGCAAGCAGCCAATGGCGGAGCAAACTCTTGCGCCACAGCCACGAAGGGCTCCTCTTTATTATTATTATTATTACAGTGGTACCTCGGGTTAAGTACTTAATTCGTTCCGGAGGTCCGTTCTTAACCTGAAACTGTTCTTAACCTGAGGACCACTTTAGCTAATGGGGCCTCCTGCTGCCACCACCGCGCGATTTCTGTTCGCATCCTGAAGCAAAGTTCTTAACCGAGGTACTATTTCTGGGTTAACGGAGTCTGTAACCTGAAGTGTATGTAACCTGAAGCGTATGTAACCCGAGGTACCACTGTATTATTATTAATAACAATATTAATAACAATAATTATTATTTATAATATATTATTATTATTATTTATAATTATATTATTATTATTATAATTATAATTTGGCTTCCCCCGTATTTCAGTATTGAATTATTAAACAAATTCCATACCCTGCTGGTTTTTACCTCTTATACAGTTGTGAAATTTTAGTCAAAACCTGCCAGTGAGTCCAAATCGTTGTACTGTCTTTTTATATACAGTCATACCTTGGGTTACAGTCGCTTCAGTTTGCGTTTTTTCGGGTTACGCACCCGCCGAAACCCAGAAGTACCGGAACGGGTTACTTCCAGGTTTCGGTGGTCACGCATGCGCAGAAGCACTAAATCACGCTTTGCGCATGCCCAGAAGTGCCGAATTGCAACCCGTGCGTGTGCAGAAGCACCGCTGTGGGTTGCGAACGTGCATCCCACACGGATCATGTTCGCAACCCGAGCATCCATTATAGTTTATAAATGGTTTCCACTCCTTTTTGAAATCGACGTTGTCTCTCTCATGAATCCAACCCCATCTTTAAAGAGTCTCAAAAATCCATGAAAATGCTAGTGTCGCTTACACACACACACCATAATAAGGGTCAGTTGATAAAACACTAAAAAAAACCACCAATCATGGCAACATCAAACGGTCCTAACATAAGCACATCTATTACACAAGGGATGCGGGTGGCGCTGTGGGTTAAACCACAGAGCCTAGGACTTGCTGATCAGAAGGTCGGCGGTTCGAATCCCCACAACGGGGTGAGCCCCGTTGCTCGGTCCCTGCTCCTGCCAACCTAGCAGTTCGAAAGCATGTCAAAGTGCAAGTAGATAAATAGGTACCGCTCCGGCAGGAAGGTAAACGGCATTTCCGTGCGCTGCTCTGGTTCGCCAGAAGCGGCTTAGTCATGCTAGCCACATGACCCGGAAGCTGTACACCGGCTCCCTCGGCCAATAAAGCGAGATGAGCGCCGCAACCCCAGAGTCGGCCATGACTGGACCTAATGGTCAGGGGTCCCTTTACCTATTATGCAAAGCGAAAAAATCCGAAGCAGCTATATTGGCCTAGGGCTTTGACACACTCCCCCCCCAAAAAAAACCCAGGTCCTATTCTGCATTTTAAACACTTCTTAGCTAAGTGCTTGGAAATTGTACACCTTGCCAGGGTTTCTCTCGTTCTTCGGCTTCAATACAAGGCAACTGCTGCTCCACCACACCTTTGCCTGGGTCATGTTGGCCTTGCGATTCCCGGAAAAGCTAGGCCGCCCCCCCTTTCCAAGACGTCTGGCAGGCAGCTCCCTCCCTCCTTGTCTGCTAAGCTTGAGATGGAATCCAGAGCGGCAGATTAAGGCTGGAATGTGAGGAATTCCCATTACTCTGCTTTCCCTCGCTTCATTAGCACACGGCTGGGCAGGGATGAGGGAACAGAGGTTGGAGACCTCTGGGACGAGTCTGCCCAGGTCAGCGGCAAGGAATTTCCTGTTCTTGTGCACATCGCTGTTCAGAAACGGAGAGCAGCGAAGAAGCGCTGGTCCTCCAGGGGAAAATTCAACAGGCTCTTGCACGCTGCATAATGTCCTACAAAGAACTATCTGCTGTCACGGGAGGTCCATGTCCACCATGTTTTTTTGCCTTCCCAAATAAGGCACATCGTAACTAAGATGGTGGCAAAATACCGTCCTTATAGGATGAAGCAATGTTTTTGAGAGCAGGATAACAGATCAGAAAAAGCAAGTGTGGATGAGCGAAATACGTTCTTTATTATCTGTATGCAAGGAATCTGCTCAAACACACATATTGTTTAACTGAAAAGAGACAAATTCAGTAACAGGAATGGTCTTGGATAGCCAACAATGCACTCTATCTCTTTTTTAAATATTTTTTCCCCTTTCCCCATCACCATCCACCACCCCTCACCCCACCTTTGTGTTAGACTTCCAATCTACCAGTTGCAATTTCTTCCCACTTCTATTACTTTCTTTCACTCACCTTTAGCCTAATTTCATACTTCTTTTTCTATTACACATTGTTATCCATCTTATTTAGTATTTCAGTATTTGAAACGGAACTTGTTTATTCTAATAGGAGTTCTGATTTTTCGATATGGTTTTGCAAGTATCCTTTAAACACCTTCCAGTCCCTGTCTATCTTCTCTTTTGAGATCTTTCCAATTTCTCCCATTGTTTTGGATATATTGTAGTACTCCAATAATTTGGCAAGCCACTCTATTTTTGTCGGTACAATACCACTTTTCCAATTTTTCGCAATCAATAGCCTTGCGGCTACAGTTGCGTATAAATATAAGGTCTTGTCTTCTTCATTTAGGCTTCCTGGTACTATTCCCAATAGAAAACCTTCTGGTGTTTTCCTAAATGAGTATCTGAACATTTTTTTCATTTCGTTATATACTGTTTCCCAAAATTGTTTGATGTTTAAACAATTCCACCATATATGTATCATAGCCAACAATGCACTCTCAACTCTGCTGACCACAAATTTGAAAGAAAACTTCTTCAAATAATCAACCTTGGATATTTCAATATACGGGGGAATTTCTCATGACAGATCAGATGCTGGTTGGAGATGTTCTTCTACGAAAGATTTTCTATCCATCTTTTTCATCTACCTTACTACAGTGGTACCTTGATTGTCGATTGGCTTGACTCCTGAACAAATCGGCTCCTGAACACTGCAAGGCTTCCGCAGCTTCTGATTGGCCAATCCTGCAGCCAATCGGAAGCCATGCCTTGGTTTTTGAACGGGTTAAGTTTGACAACCAAGGTACCACTGTATTCAAAGTTTCTAGAATGAGTTTATCGATGAAATCCACTGTATTGCATGTTATCAGCTAATACAGAATCCAGAAACATTCAGTGAGGGGGGAGAGGGAGAGGCAGGCAAAGTTAATTGTTGCCATGGACCAAGAGTAACTAGAGCTCGCAGGCCAGAAATGGTTAGCACTCAGGTAAGGGTGCAACTGAACTGAACCCGAATCTTTCTTCTGCAGCTCCCTTCCTGGGTTGAATTTTACATTGCAAGCTGTCTGGGGGCAGGAACCCTTCCTCCTCATGTTGTTATTACTTCCTAAAGAACTAGGCGCACTGGTAGTGCTATAAAAATTCATGTTGCTAAAATTATTATTAGCAGAAACAGAACATGAGCCACTGCCGTTGAGGAAGGGACCACATTTACCCACTTACAAGGGGCTTAATAAGAATCGCAGCATTTCCGCATTACCTCTCCCGACCATCTAGAATTAAGATATCTCTCTCTTGTTCACACGAATTTTGTTCAGATACAGCAGACATGCATTAGCGTGCTGGAATCAAAGCATCGGCACCACTTACCCTGATGCGTCTCATGGCCGTGACAATCTCCACCCTGCTGTTTGGCCGGGGTACATCTAGGCTGCCAATATACTAGAAGGAAAAGAGAGAAGAGTTAGGCAACACCAAGGCAAGAGTCAAACTTTCCTTCGGAACCAGCCTTCTGAGCAGCTGCATCCCATATTGAGCTGCTCTCCTGCTCCTCTCTGCACCCAGGTTATTATAGGGTACCACGCCCTGCATCTTACTGAAAATGTGTTCAAAAAGCCATGTTCCAGCGGTTACATTTTCAGTGCTTCCTAAATCTCTCCCCCCCCCAACACACACTGTTCACATCTGAATGGCTTCACTTTGCTTCTGTTCTGTATGCATCGAGGGGGCCTTGTTGGGCTGAGAGTGTCTTTACCCTGCGTTAGGGACGCGGGTGGCGCTGTGGTCTAAACCACGGTGCCTCTTGGGCTTGCCAACTGGAAAGTCGGTGGTTCGATTCCCCGTGGCGGGGTGAGCTCCCGTTGCTCTGTCCCAGCTCCTGCCAACCTAACAGTTCGAAAGCACACCAGTGCAAGTAGATAAATAGGTACCGCTGCAGCGGGAAGGTAAACGGCGTTTCTGTGCGCTCTGGTTTCCATAACGATGTCCCGTTGCTCCAGAAGCGGTTTAGTCATGCTGGCCACATGACCCGGAAAGCTGTCTGTGGACAAACGCCGGTCCCCTCGGCCTGAAAGCGAGATGAGCGCTGAAACCCTATAGTTGCCTTTGACTGGACTTAACCATCCAGGGGTCCTTTACCTCTTTTTAGGGGGCTCATACCTTGGCTAGAGACCAAGTAGGAACAGCTTAAGAATTCCAATTGAGAAATTCCAATTGAATTTCTCAAACCAAACAGGAGTATCGTATAACGATGCACGGCATACACACGTGCTTAGTATTGAAAATCCAGCTCTGGAAACAGGATGAATGCACTATAAACAGGAGTGTGGGCACAGTCTAAGGAAAGTTATGCATGATCTCAATGGTGCTGCTGATTTTAGACTTTGGGCTTAATGGTCTTATGGGTGTGGGGTGTGTCCCTTTTGATGGATCCGTGAGTAAGGCTTCAGTAGCACACAAGACAGCATCTTAAAAAGTAGAGACATCACCTTGCCAACAAAGGTCCATATAGTTAAAGCTATGGTTTTCCCAGTAGTGATGTATGGAAGTGAGAGCTGGACCATAAAGAAGGCTGATCGCTGAAGAATTGATGCTTTTGAATTATGGTGCTGGAGGAGACTCTTGAGAGTCCCGTGGACTGCAAGAAGATCAAACCTCTCCATTCTGAAGGAAATCAGCCCTGAGTGCTCACTGGAAGGACGGATCCTGAAGCTGAGGCTCCAGTACTTTGGCCACCTCATGAGAACAGAAGACTCCCTGGAAAAGACCCTGATGCTGGGAAAGATGGAGGGCACACAAGGAGAAGGGGACGACAGAGGACGAGATGGTTGGACAGTATTCTCGAAGCTACCAGCATGAGTCTGACCAAACTGCGGGAGGCAGTGGAAGACAGGAGTGCCTGGCGTGCTCTGGTCCACGGGGTCACGAAGAGTCGGACACGACTAAACGACTGAACAACAGCAGCACGCAATTAACATTTCTCTTTTCTGCTCCACTGCCGCTTGGTATTTTGGAACAAAAAAAATAAAATAAAAAACAAAGTTTGCCAACCCTGATAAGAACAAACACTTCTGAGTACGCGCAGCTTTGGATTTAATCTCACTGAAATCGCAGCATCTTTACGATTACAGGGAAACAAATGGAGCTTGCGTCTGCCTGCCCTGATGCCAAACATGCTTCCTTGGGATTAAGCACACTGCTGCAGAAAGGGATAATATCTTTTAAACTTTTAAAAAAAACAATAAAACACGCATTTTATTATGCTGTCTCTTGGCTCTAAGATTTTTGGGGGCGGGGAGGGGGAACAGAAAGGAAGCTGAGGTGACCAGCACAAGTCCTGCTGGCCCAGCCGCTGACATGCCGTCTTTTTGCCAATGTCTCCTCCAGCTACCACTCAATGGGTGGTCATCTGAAGGCCCCCTAGGCTGCGGGTACCGGGACTATGGGGTTGCGGCGCTCATCTCGCTTTCAGGCCGAGGGAGCTGGCGTTTGTCCACAGCTTTCCGGGTCATGTGGCCAGCAGGACTAAACCGCTTCTGATGCAACGGGACACCGTGATGGAAACCAGAGCGCACAGAAACGCCGTTTACCTCCCCACTGCAGTGGTACCTATTTATCTACTTGCACAGGTGTGCTTTCAAACTGCTAGGTTGGCAGGAGCTGGGACCGAGCAAAGGGAGCTCACTCCATCGCGGGGATTCGAACCGCCGACCTTCCGGCCGGCAAGCCCAAGAGGCTCAGTGGTTTAGACCACAGCGCCACCCGTGTCCCTTCATAGGGAGAATGTAAGTGTGATGAAAAAAGGGCTCTAGGTTCAGAGGGAAGCCATTTCCCGAAGCATTATATCTTGAGGAGCGGTCACAAGGCCTGCAGCTTTCAGATGCATTCTTCCTCACTCAGGTCCATCGGCTGAAAGATCAGCCAGCCCACTCACTGTGATAAAAACAGCCCCCCTCCACCATCTGCCTGTAAGGATTTGAGACACAGACAGATAAAGCACAGCGAATCCCATGCCAGATTTTCTGGGAAACTCCATTCAGAGATAGAAGCACTTTGCAAAATTGCTATCTGCAAGTCAAAATCTTGCAAGTGGGATTATCTCACAGAGCAACCCCCCCCCTTGCAGTAAATGGTTGAATACCTTTGACAGGACTAACGTTCAAACTAAAGGAGGAAAGCCCGGGTTTGAAAATACCTATTAACCATGTTTCGAATTTGACGTTTTAAGCGTATAGTTTTTATTGATTTTACCTTTTTTATAATACAGTGGTATCTCGGGTTAAGTACTTAATTTGTTCCGGAGGTCCGTTCTTAACCTGAATCTGTTCTTAACCTGAAGCACCACTTTAGCTAATGGGGCCTCCTGCTGCCGCTGCACGATTTCTGTTCTCATCCTGAAGCAAAGTTCTTAATCCAAGGTACTATTTCTGGGTTAGCGGAGTCTGTAACCTGAAGCGCCTGTAACCAGAAGGGTATGTAACCCGAGGTACCACTGTACTAAGTCTTTTTGCACAAGCAGAAATTGTTCTGCTTGCACCATTCTTTAGCTGAATGCTGCCCAAAGATACAAGCATTGGCCAACTTCAGAGCTATGTTGGTTGGGGGCTAGGAGAGTAGTATGGCAGGAACTATGAAAGCTACTATCTAAACTTGGTTTTAGCATACAGAACCAGGTGGCAAGGAGGGCTGTATTTTGGTTTGCCTCTCTGATGCCTTGGCAAACTTCAGAAACTCAATGATTTTGATGATGTTGGCAGTTCACAGAGGGCAAACAAGGCTTGGTCCTCAGACTAAGGGATGGATATTCTCATTCTTCCAACGCCACAATGCCAGCAAATTAAATTCCTCTGAGCAGGCGTGAAACTTTCTACTACGGGATGGTATTTCATCAAAGCTATCCCACTGGGGGGGAAATGTTCTGTTTCTAGGATCTGGTTGATCCATAGCTGTGAACTTACAGATTTGAAAATAAGGGACCAGCAGCCTCAAAAAGAAGGGATTTCCCAAGCACAGGTATGTTCAGCTTCTGATCCCCTCTGAGCCAAAGGCAGGAAGCCCAGCCAGCAGCCAAACGAAGCCTCAAGCGATGGTACCCACAGTGCAGCAACCCAGCAAAGGGGATACAGCAAGGAAAACCACCATCACCTCTCCGCTGGGAAGCGCTGAGCAAAGGCGAGTCCCCAGGCAACGCGGCCGATTTGATCGGCACAAGGCATGCAAGCTCCATCCCCCAGTCATTCTTAGACTTCTTATTAGGTGAGCAATGCAGCCAAGCAACACAGTTGGAGCCTCCCTCCTCCCTGGCCAGCAGGGAGGAAGGGAGAGGAGCTGCTTCCTTTGAAACCCGGGAAATTTAAGGGACATCATCGATAAGGGACAGCAGCGGGACACGGCGCTAGGATAAGGGACTTTCCCACCAAATAAGGGACGGTTGACAGCTATGGGTTGATTTGAATGTTTTGGGTTTTTTTAAAATCGTTTTTATTTGATTTTACAAAATATCAATTTATAACAAAACCAAATACATATCCATACAGAGAGATTTCTCTGAATTTTGAGACCTCCCCCAATCCCCTCCTTGGGTCCTACTGTCAACGTTTTCAACTACATATTATTTCATAATTTATATTTTGTATCTATCCATATTATACATAGGATTTGTTACATTACAACTGAGATTAAAATCCTGCTAATCAGGGTAGATTTGATTTAAATCAAATCGATTTAAATCACGATTTAAATCACTAGTCAGTAAGGCTTGATTTAAATCTTTTTTTTTTTTACACAGAAAGACTCATTCTTGCTGGTATAATCTTAAGTATTTACAACCAGATGAAGGTTTCATTTTTGGAATAAAAAATTTTCAGAGCAGTTTTTACAGTTATATAAAAAATTACTGATTTGGTTATACTATTAGAAATACATAGACAGATAATTATTAAATTATTGTGAGGTTTAATAAGTTAACTGTTTATATATGGACAATTTTTCTGCTGTAATTTATTGGAAGGAGAAAAATAATCATTTCCCTAATAACAATTTAAACAATTTAACTAAAGCAGTAACATTATAGCATATGTATCCATGTTTGTTAACTGATGTGGTTAAACTTTTTTTAGAAAAACAACAACAAACAACTTAGACTGAATTTTAGCACACGTGAAAAACTTAAAACAAATCCTTATTTCCTGATGAATAGCCTTTGGACTATAATGTAACCTAAATAGAAAACTATCTTTAGAAAGATGTTTCCTCAAAATGCGTTTTATTTTAAAAATTATTTAAATCAAAAAAAAACGGTGTGTTTTTTTAAATCATTGGTTTTTATCCACCCTGCTGCTAATGTTTTCATTTGTTTACAGTGGTCTGCTAAATAAATTGCAAAAATTTTGGCGTAGTCTAACAGCTTGATTTCGTTTGATTTGAATGCTGACGCTGCAGCA